TTAAAATTCTCTTCGTTTTTATATATTGCTTAATAGCGTAAATTATTTTAGTTAAAACTTTTCCTCTTCTTCGAAGCTCACTTATTGCGGTAAATAGGTTTTAGTAAAAATTTCATTCAGATAGTAAAAATATACTTCAGTAAAATCTGTCTAAAGATAAACATACTGCCATTTGAACTTATTTTCCGTCCAGTATGGAAAAATCTACCCATGCACCTGAACAGGAAACAAATGTTAGAAAAGGATCTTGTGAGAACTATTCTTGCCCTGGAGAGCCATTCTTTGGAATGGAATGTCGTTTTTCCTGTCTCATGAAATTCTTTATTTTGTGAATTCTTCTTTCCGTAGATTGAATAAGATGGTTCATTTTAGTTAGCAAAAGAAATGCATCACAGTTTTTCTCTTCTAAACTATACTTCCTTAAGTGAATGAAAATGTCTAACGCTTATATTATATCAATATAAATTTTAACTGTCATAAATTCAATGTATTTTTCTCTGATTACTCATATTTAGGGTAATTAAGCAATCCGGAGTATGTATTTAGGAGGTTAAAGGGATATTCCCGGATGTAGTAACTTAGTATTTCAAATCCTGGTAACTTCCCATATGCTGTCAATGGGACCTAGATAGGATGTCCTGAGGATATACTGGGATGTGCATTAAGCACTTGGTAGGATATGTCTAGGAGTTTCGGGGGATATTCCGGGATGTCCTAAGGATGTGCGCTTATCTTTCGAGCAACATCCTTAGGATATCCCGTGGATGTTTTTGTGCTATGTGAGACAGTTTTACAAATTACTCATATTTCGCGTAATTATAGTTTTACAAATTGCTGAAAGTTTTAATGAAATTGCCAGGTAATTCCTAGCAATAAAATCTGGCGATCATTTTCAGACTCAGTGAAGGCAAACGGGAAGTTTAATTCGTGATATACATAAATATTCAATACATACTCTTTATCTTAGATTTGTGAAGAGTGAAAAGGAAATCCAGTGTAACGACAATCAAAGAAACCAGCAAAGAAATTAATATTGCAATGAGACTTTTTTAATGCCTGCTTGTCTATTATTTTGTGCTTAGTTATACAGTGAGTCTGATAAGTTTACTTCCTTGAAAAAGCTTATCATTTAAAGTAATAATTCCAAATTCCCCGCTGAATTATGTATTAAGAAATATAAGCATATGCATCATCAAGGATTTTTCGGTCAACTGCGCACGTCAACACTCTCCAAAGGCGGGCGCTTGCCTATGCTGGCTGGCATCGGCCCCTCTTAAGGCCAGATGTAGTGGTTTCTTTATTATGTGGGCATCTAATATGTGGGCCACCTTTGCCTCGTATGAAGGGACAGACAATTTACATCCATGCCTTTTCCGGGATTCGAACCCGGGCCCTTTGGTATCTCGCAATCAGGCTTCCCTAACCACTGACTACGATACCAAAGGGTTCGCAGTCAGGGCTTCCCTAACCACTATCTTTTATTTATGGTACCTAATTTATACGAAGGATCACGCGTACCTCAATGGCATGCTTCTTGTAAACTTTAACTATCATGATAACGTATATGTATGAATGTATATATCAATATAAGTGACAGTATGTATACTTCTATTTGTTTCGGAATATCTATGTATGTAAGTGTGTACTATATATCTGTATATGAGTTTGTATTTATATGTATATACAAGTGAGATTTTAAATCCATAGCTTAATATTTTTCCTCGAGCGCTGTCTAAATTTTAGCTGTTGACTGCACGAGTGAAATTGATAGAACTCTCGCCACTTTATTTCATGAGAGGAGATCAAGATGATATAGATGTTGTATTAATAGGTGTAAGACGTTATAGTTGTCATGTTAATAGATAAACGATGATATAGATGTTGTATTAATAGATGTTGTATTAATAGATGTAAAGATGATATAGATGTTATATTAATAGATGAACTATATTATAGATGTATTAATGTTTTATTAAATGTGTTTTGTTTGAACATGAATTGTGACTTCGAAACTAAAGAACCCACATACATATATTTTGATTGTACTCTTCTTCAAAGTGCCTTGTATGCACATGTATATCTCTTTTTTGCATTTTATAAATGTCGCCTGCTCAGCCGGGGCTGCCCAGGGCTGCGGCCTAGTATCTAGTGGTTGACTCCCGCCGAATTGGTAACCACTTCTGCATGGATCGGGAGCCAACTCAACTCCTGGGTCGGGAGCCAACTCAGCGGTTTACCTCCCCTAACTACTATGCCGTCTGGGTGTCATCATGGAATGCATAGGGCAGCTAAACCAAAACCGAGAGAAAAAAATAATGAAAAAATGCTGGCGTTAACATATATGGAGATACCAAAATCTTTTAAGTGCTTAGGGTCTCTAATAGACATAATCCGGCCCTGCCCACGTGCGCAGTTGACCGAAAAATCCATGTGCGTTACTTCACAATGGACGCATAAATTAGGTACTTGAAAGTGTGACTGGCACATATCACAAAGAAAAATTCAATGTTCATACCAAGATTAGTCAAGATCGTACTAAAAGAATTATGCCGTCCGCAAACACTGAGACATAAATTAACTCTGTTTTGTTTCTTTAAAATATCATCTGCGCAGAGATATAGAATTTCCCTATATTCGATATGCTATTATATTTCTTTTATATTTAATTTTTGGTTCATTGAATTGTACCTACATGGTATTAATGTGGTAATTAAAAGTATCTTTAGGATTTTAAGATTTCTCGTTTCCGAAGATTTTTCAGCAATAGTAAATGCATTAAATATTTGATATGCAAAAAAATTTTAAAACCACGCAGTAAATACATAGTCTCAATTAATTACATATTCTGAAACATGAGTCAATATTCTAAAAACATTATCGATTTTAACCAATAAAATTCTTACAAAACGTAGAATTTTCTACCTTAATTCATTTTCACTCTATGTTAGAGAATCACATTAATTAAAATTCCTTTTCAGATCATATTGTTGCGTGCGTACGGGTTCGTTATGAAATGAATGCACAAGTCCGATGAAAAATGAACAAAAATTTATTATTATCACAACAAAAATGCTTAAATTTTCTCAAATTATCGTGCAGTATTACAATATCTCACAGTAGTTATCTTTTAACTACTCAAATGTCCAATAGAACGTAATTCAAAACAGCTAAAGAACGCTAATCCGCGAATTCGCTACAATCAACAAGAGCAGAGCAGTTTTCTAAACAACAACAAACTAAGCAACTACTAACGAACTGAGATGTTTTCCTCCTTTTATAAAGATTTTATAATCACGCGCTAGAATTTTCCAGTACTTTCTCGAAATCAAAAAGAGATATTTATTTATTTAATGCACGCGCTCTTGTATTTTCAATTTTCCGGCTTAGCTTTCTTTTAATATTCGTCACGCGCTGCACTGCGCGAGAAATAAAACCATTTAATTTATAATTGAACTAACATTAGCTTTTTAAATACCAAATTCTTAACAATATCAATGAAACTCAGTATTATAACGATGGTTTCATATGTTAAAATTCATATACAAAAAAATTCGTTTTATGCGAGCTTTTATGTTTATGAGATGGACTAAAAAATTGACTTGCTAAAAAACAACTATTTAACTGTTTAAAAATTTATTCGGATTAAAAGCAGAAATTTATTTTAGGAAAAAAATAAATAAATGAATAAATGTAATAAACTATCAATGAATTAATTATCAGAAACATATATCTGCTACAATAGATGTATAATATACTTGCTGGCATTATTTCAAACGTTTTGAAGAATGTTACATTTTTCACGTGCTCTGAAAATTGCAGACGTGATTTCGTTTCTTAAAAAAGGGACAAATCCAGATCTGGATTTGCCCCTTTTTTAAGAGGCTTTCTTTCTACCAACTAAACTCCTGTAGACCTATAGTTATGCCTCCTTCCTATAGTTTTTCAGCCCGGAGATTTCGTTTTACATAAGCATAGCGAATCTTATTTCCTTTCCTTACTACTTTCTACATATCTCAGGTTTATATTATTGATATCTCTATCAAAATTGCACCAAATTCAAGTTACCTTAACAGTCTGAAATAAATTATTTCACTTCTTCACACTTAACTGTAATGTTAACAATTCATAAATTTAGTAAATTGGCAATAAAAAATAATGCCACATGTTAGGCAAAAAAAATTTGAATCACAGTTTCATTTTATTTAATAATTATTAAATATTTCACTGATTATGTTCTTAAAATATTACTTTTTAATTCACTTTTTATTACACACGATAATATATATTTGGAATTCCCAAACTTGTTATCATGTACGTTTCGTGCCAAATACTTTTCATTATTTTCTATCCAGCGTTTTAAATTATTTTATTATTATTTTTGGGTGCGTACGGGTTCGTTATGAAATGAATTTTAATGCCTAGCCGAAAGTGTTCTTAAGTAATTGTTGGAATAAAATTTTCTTTCTACCAGCAATTACCTCTTAAGTAATTTCTGGTAGAAAGAAAATTTAGATTTGAGAGACCCTCAAACCCACCCCTGTTTTCCTAACGGGGCATTCTTCATTAAAACTAAGGTTCAGCTTAATAGTTAGCAAGGCCCGCTGATACCTAATGCACCTTGCTTAAATTTTTGCCTGTTAAAAGCATAAAAGTGTTAGAATAAAATTAAATATTGCCCGTTCACCTTCAGTCAAATCTATCGCATCTTTTCCTTTGAATCCATTTCAGCAATCTCTTTTAACAATATTACCGGATTAAGAATGGTATGTAATTTTTGGACTCATTCTAGAGACATATACACTCTGTCCGAATTTTTTTAAATCAACAGTCTTGCTAATTTCATTTCTTAGCAAATCTCATATATACTTCATCTTCAGATTATCGCAACCTAAAAATCGGATCTTTCAAGTTTAATAAGCTAATAGAAATTAAAATACTGTTAAACAAATTATTTTGTATTATTTTAATTGCGCATTAATGAGTAATTGTATTTAATACAGCTGTGACTCTAGGAGAAGAGTGTACGCTGTATCAGCTGCATCGTTGCCTGGAGTCACTGCAGTCTCTGTCACAAGGAGGCGATCTAGCATTAACCACCACGTTAGAAGAACTACAGGCTGTCTGTAGGTAAGGTGCTATTAACAAACATAGCATGCTTTCAGATTTATTTTTAAGATAAAAATGATTAAGTTCCTCAGTAGCATAATAATGTCCATACCAGAACTTCAGTCTATTTGTATTTAATTCAAACAATCAACTAGACAATCCAGTTACTGTCCTGAATATATCTTTATTGTTTCTGACCCACATAAAGTGCAAAACTGTTACTAGCACGGAAGGTCTTCCAAACTTAAACTTCAGATTTTCAGGAAAAAAAAGGGGGAAAATTATGTATGAGTTTTGTCACTTAAGAATATATGACAATGAAAATTTTGACTGCTAACATTCTAAAGATAGGCATTATCATTCTAAAGATAGTTACATAACTTCAAAAAACAAAGAGATTTGGCCGTACAGCTTTTGCAAGTTAGCTATTTTCCAAATTTTCCAAATGATAAATCTAATAGAGACATGCAATTGAGGCAGTGGACAACCACCCTGAACCAGACCATGATGATATGGCGTAATGTTGCAGGAAGAGAGGTGCCATCTCCAATGATGTGTCCGAGCCTTAAATGAAACGGATTTTCCTCAACATGTCACATTTGCCCATTGGTTCCTGCAACAGAGCACACTGCATCCACCGTTTGTAGCATCTGTCCTATTTACAAATCAGACTACGTTCGCATGTGATGGCATATTTTATGTACAACACTCATGTGGGGACCACATTAAATCCGCATGCTATATGTTCGACATGCCGCCAATAAAGGTTCTTAGTAAATGTGTAGATAGGCATCATCCACGATCACTTCCTTCGCCAGTTTCTTTTACCAAACCGTCTAGAACAGTAGTTTTCAACTTTTTTTGCTCCATTTTCCCCTTTCGGGGTTACTGAAAGATCATTTCCTATCCTCTCCGAATCATAATATATACATAAGAAGAGAGTTTAATTTCAGTACCACTAATAGCACTCAAACATCTCCAAAAAAGTATTACTTAGTACTATACACGTTAATCTAATTAGAAACAAAAGTGTTTGCAATGATGTTAATTTTTCAAGAAGTTCGACTTTTAATAAATCTCCTTATAAAAAATCGAACTCCCAAATTTAAAATTGGCCACAAGTTAAAAAAGCAGGCATAAAATACAATTTTTAAATTACTTGTTTACTGCAATATGATCATTTTACCTTGAACCGAGAGACTGAAATGTAGGATGGCTATTACTAGCAGTTTAGTGTTCATGAGTAATTAATATTTGATAAAATATAACCTCTAAATGTAGTTAATCTCTTGTAAAATGCGTACATACCTTCTCAGTTTTTGGTTTTAGAAAAAACTAATCTGGCATCTCGCTATTATTAACAAAGGGCTAATTTCATTCAAAGACGTACTATTGCTCGTTTATGTGAAGAATTTAATCTTTTTACTTGCTATCTTTTTATTAGTGCCTCTGCTTTTATCCAAAGTTGGTTTAAATTGAAGTTCTAATGTTTAAACTCAGTCGCCATATTGTCTTCAAAACGCCGGAGCCGTCCCCTGCTAATGTTAAACACTACCACACCATTGAACCAAGATTATTTAGCCAAGAACTCGTCAAAATATAGTTTTGTATCAGTTTCCTTCTTCAGTTTGCCTTTTTCTACTCTTGTTTTAAGTTCATCGTTATGGTAATCCTGCCCAGGCATGTTCAAACCAAAGAATTTCGGCAACCTGCCCTTGCAAGTGCATTTCTGTTTAGTATGTTCACGCCATTTTGAAACCTGTATTAACTACTGATAGCATAACTGGCTTAGTTCAAATTTTTTCTCGTCTACTTCAATCCAATCAAGGTTAAATTTTTTTCATCCTACTCATATTAACCTTTACAGATTCCAATTCCTGATTCCACATCAGGCCCAGTACAAGTATTTCCCAATCATGTTCGGTGTGTCTTCTCCCGTATATTTCCACCCTCTGAGATAAAAACTTCCTTTTGACATTACCAGGCTGTATTTGGAAATAAAATATTTTAAAACAGTGTAACTGTCCGCTAGTTAAAACACCGTCAGCATAGAAAATTTATTCTAGGGGTAAGAAACCCCTAGAAGTTGCTAAACGTACATTGCCGATGTGTTTTACACCTTCTCGACACTTACAGTTATGCCGTTACAGTTAAGAAAAACTTAAGGTCACATTCCTGTTAAGTTTCGGCATGATTCATTTTCAATATGGTGTGCAAAAATTAAAGGTAAGCCGGAGAAATTAGCATAAAAGCGGAACAAGCCAGCAGAACGGGCTGAAAGACCAATCAGGAGACAGACTTGGAATCGATACAGTACGCCATGCGCTTATATGACACGTTCAGCAATTCGGTGAAAGCAATATTACAATTGACAGCGATTTTAACGATATCGAGTTACTACTACCTTGTGATATGGCAACAGGCAACTCAGGAAACATCATCTGGATGACTTTATCATCTGACATCCAGGGTCGCATCATTGGAAAGTTGTAAGTAGATCGAAGTGTGACAAGGAGTTCGGAGCGGAGGAGTTTGGGATCGCCCATAGCATCGTTTCACAAGCGTGAAAAGCATCTCTAACAGCAGAAGCAGCAGTTAAAGCGTTCATCAATGGACATTAATGAGCGATAACGACAGTGGGCGAACGATATACAGTCCTATTAGAGAAAAGAGACAGGCAGCAGATAGCGGGAGATACCGCAAGGCGCATGAAACAGACTACTGATCATGCGATATCATGGCCAGGAGGGTGCACAAACGGGGTGTATATGCACGACAACCAGTACCGTGTGTGCCGTTAACACCTGTTCAATGGAGAATTCGATTTCCTGTGGTGCAGTGAATGCAAGACCTGGATACAACAGGAGTAAGGTCGAATGCTATTTACGGATGATATCTGATTTAGTCTGATGATCGGTTCTAGACCGAAACACATCTGGCAAGAAAAGGAACACGCAATCACCCATCCAGAAACTTCGAAAGAGGCTGTTTTGGAGGTTCAGTCACTGGTGTTGTCTGTGAAGTTTTTCGCGATGCACTATTTTTTACCACGTTCTAGAAGTGCCATGTTTTCTCCTTCCCTTCTTTACTTCCACGATGTACGCCAACGTTTTCTCCTTACGTTCTTTTCTCTGCATCGTTTTTGCCCGTATTTCTTCAACCTGTGACCATGAACTGCTTAATCAAGGATTTAAATAATCAGCGGCTGCCCAGACTGGATAGTGGTTAGTGACTTTGACTAGGGTACCAAAGATCCCGGGTTCCAATCCCTAAGATGGCATCGATAATTGTAAATGTGCAGTGTCTTTGCGACATGAGGGCACTCCAAATATATGGCTGCCAAAAGTTCTCTCGTGTAATTTGATGGTAGAGGAGAGGGGTGGAACCCAGGAACCACTCTCCGGGATGCTTTCTCTCAAAATTGGGATGGAAGTAAAAGTCCAACCTCCTTGAGGTTCTGGCAACCATTCTTCCATGAAATATAGGCTCGAAAACAAACAATAATCAACTTCTAAATTGCACTCAGTTAAGCTTAAAAACTTTTATCTCTTTTACAGTCTGTCTTACTTAGATTGACAATACAATTTTATATGGCATACCGGCTGGAAAAGAACTGAAACAGCTAGTGATAATATAATAAGACTGTTGAACTGATAAATGGGAATGCATCAAACAGCACTTTTTAGAATTATATAACAAAATACTTCTCTTTTCACAGTACTCTGAAAGAAAGCGTATGGTGTGTGGACGAACATATGAAACACTGCTTTACACCAACTCAAAGGAAAGTATTCAATCATGTTGTAGCAGGTGCCAGACAGTTCTTGCTGGAGCTCTGTGTGCCAGGACCCATACAGGACGGTAATTTAGCTTTTTCACTTGAACACTTTCCATTCAATATTTTTGTCAATAAAACATTCAAAGTTCTACTACTTACTGTTTTCATTTAATAATTCATTTAATAATTAATTCATTTAATAATTATTTCTCTAACATGACATTTTTTTTTTTATTTTTTCATTTCAACAACGTTTCTAAACGCTATTTTCAACTATGTTCTGTTCTAAAGCTAAATACCACTATTATTATGAGTCTGAAAATGAAATGGTCGAATCTATAGATCTTGAAAAAGCAAAAAGAAAAGGAAGCATCAAATCCATTTCATTAGAAAAAAAACACCAGCAGAAACAATACCTTGCTATGGTTGAAAAGGTTATTTTTGCCATTTCTGGACTATTGCATGTATCTGGGAATTCAGGAAGTCCTTCAGTTTTTTACTTATTCATAAGTCATTAGTGAAACATTTCACCAACAGAACACATTATGACTGGAAATTTGGTCTGTTGTAGAAGGTAGATGACACACTGCTGTTCATCTTCCATGATGTATATGGATACGTTTTCACTATGATAAGGGATCAGGCGTTATCTTGAACCTGATAATGACAGTTAGATGTATTTTACTAAAAATGACCGTACATCGAAGAATATTTTCTTCTCTATTCCTGAAAGTTAGTGCTGATTTCTTACATTAGAGCACCTTTCACTTGTATTCTTCGACGTGAATTCGAAGCAGTTGTACACTATATATTCATGCTGGAACAGTGGAAACAATTCTCGTGCTATCATGTGTAACAGATTATTGTAAAATAATTATTATTGTATAAAAAATTCTCATTCACCTTTGAAAAAGACATCTTTTGTAAAAGACGATTACAGTTACACATGTAAAAAAAATACATGAACATTACAAAAATATCTCCAAATCTGAACTAGGATAAGTGTACTCTAAGGTTAGTGGAGAAGTGTACCATCTATTTCATTGTGAGTGACAAATTATTTCGAAAATTTCCTTACTCTCTGAAACCAAAGTAAAAGAATTTAATAATTATTTTCAACTAAAAGAACATTTTATCCATACTTTTCTTTTTCATGAAAAAATAATTTTGCATTTTAAGATAATATTCATGGATTTTTTTAAATTTCATTTGCTTATGATAATTTTCGCTTTTTTTATATTTATACGCCAAATGATGTGGCGCCATCTGAAGAATGGATACGACCTAGAAATCCGTTGACACTGCGCAAAACGTAAATGTCTGTGATCACATATATCCCTGGATACGCGAGTTTAATTCACGTAACGAGCACTGCACATTACATTTATATATTTAATATTTATGTAGTATAAATAGTCTTCTGACTTCACTTACCGTTTGCCCTTTCTTTCCCCCCCCCGCAAAATAAAATTTTGGATTGCGGATTTTAATGGTATCAGTTATCTATCATTTTAGGCTTTCTTTCGAGACTGCGTTATTGAAAAGAAACTTTAGATACTTGAAGAATAAGTGTGTTCGTTCAAAACATGTTATTTACATGCAGTTTTAGGTGGCACATGCACAATATCCGATAAGATATATCAAGTAGCATAACAGGATTCCAGCTTATTTAGTTAGGGCTTTCAGAGCAGGTATTTGCAAACAAAAACACTGTTTTGACACTTGAGATAAGTTACTGCTAAAATGCACTATATCTGATATTTTAAACTTCCAAATTGTTAAACTTCCAAATAATCATAATTAATAGCATCAATTCTTAACCTGCATTTTTACGGCAATTGCTTGAAATACAAAACTGCACTTAATGCTGTGATAAATTTTGACTTACCATCATTAAAAATTATAATTTTTTAAATGTTTAAAGCATTATTTGTATTTGGTTGTACTTTGCTATTAGAACCTCTGGAACTCGAATCGTTGCAACCTAAACAAACACATAAACACAATAATTTTATTAAACTAAAAATCTTCTTAAAAATACCAATCTCAAAATTACCTGGAATTCTTAATCACCGTGTGCAGATGATCCACGCACGGTCTTCAAAAAGTTTCTTATGACTAGTACTTGACGTAAATGAGAAAACTTGTAACATTTTCAAAAAAAATCTTTCTCAAGAAATGTATCTAGTATTATTTACGACTAGGAAAAACTGATACCTGGGATCGAACATTAATAATGTTTTACGCATGAAGAGGTAATAGCGCACAGCCTAATTGAAATTATTTCTAGCATTTTAAGGGTGTTTGGGAATGTATGTGACTACATAAAACTGCAACTAGAAAAAGACGAGAGTTGTTAAAACTATTCTTTTTGAAACCAAGACTGAAGCGCTTCAGCAGTGGCCGCATCATTAAGAGAGCCAAATTTTGGTACTTCTACCTGGATTCGAATCAGACGAAAGGGTTGGCTGCATAACGGCTGTGGTTTCCCTTAAAACGGTTTTCACGAAGGCATCCAAGCAGAAAGCCGTCGTTGTGCTGTTGTTCGCCCCCTTCGTTTAGGCCCCTAAACCAAGTCCAAAAGATCATTACGCATCAGCAAGTCGTTAACAAACTCCCCCTTATTCAACAGTTGCCCCATAGAGGGACGCAGTGGCTGAGAAGTGACAAAAGGCATAAGTCTTCTCATTTCCACTGAAGATTAAACTCTTAATGTGTCCAATTCTAAGCCAAGATAAAACCGCTTGAGCAGATGTGGAGTACTTTGCTATATTCAAGTAACCTAACCATATTCAAATAACCTACTTTTCCAGTGTGTACGTTGCCATATTCAAATAGCCTAATCATCCTTAATGCAATGACTCGAGAAGATCCAGCAGAACAGAGTTTGAATGAAAAATACCATGAACTGCTTTAGTGAAGTACTAGAATGTGTAAACGAACTGTTAGGAAATATGGATGAATAAATCGAGTTCATAGTCAATGGACTCATAGCTTTGCACAGAGACCGCCATATTGTCAGAAAGAATATCTACATGATTATCCAAAAAATGGTCTGTAACAGATATTTGCAGAAGAAACGCTGATCCTCTTATGCTGATTTTATTATCGTTTTAATTATATCCACAGATACAGTTGAAGGTTAAATGTATCCTCAACTTTTGCTGAGTGTTAGTAAATGTATCAGAACAAAAGTTTTATTTTATTTAAATTTTAAAATTCTTGCATAGGCTATTAGTAGTATGTTAACTTTTATCATACGATAGCTAATAAAAATGTGATAAATTTAAAGTAATATAGTTTCAGTTACTCCCAGTAATAAAAAATGTTCAAATTAAAATGTTTTTTATGTGTTTTTCCACACAGCGTACCTGAAGCATTCACCATGCTATAAAAATGTGTCATTATCCGAAGAAAAATGCGCGCCGAAATATCGCCATCTTATACGATTGTCTGAAAATGTAGACGAACAAGGAAATGTAGACGATGGTCTTAGGGAATCTTGTTGGTAAGCACTTCATAGAATTTTGTAACATGTATCAAACATTTCCTTAAACAGGCTTTTTTTTTTTTTTCGCTTTTATTTCTTATTGCCTTTTCTATAGCACGTACTTATCTTTTAGTACCTTTCTATTTTATTTTATTATTCCCTACAACATCATAAAATGAGAAAAAAGGCCTATAAACTATTTACAAATATTTTATAATACAAAATTAGATGAGATGGGTAGAAATGCAAGCAAAGCAGCTATTTGCTTTTCAGATATTATCCAATACTCTTGTAACCGGAACGTATTATTGCGTCTGCGATGTCAGACCATGTCGTCTCACACATCGTAACAGCTTGAAAACAGTGACTTGTGGAGGACCGCACACGCGGTTTTCTCATCTCTGTGTGGTCTGCCGTACTCTTTTGATAACCTTCCACACAGAAGTACCTTTCATGAAACGCATGATTTTTGAAGCCAACAGTTCAGAAACATTTTTTTGAGAATCCAGATATTTTCAACAAACTGTGTGTCAAACTCGTCAAGAAATACATCCCTCTTTTTACTGAAGATCAAGGAAGCTTCTCAGAGTTAAATCAGAAAGATGCCGTAGAGTACCAAAAACAGAGTTACATATGAGCAAAACAGAATATTATTATCAAATTAGTCAGACAAACTATACCTTCTCTGCCATTTTATTAAGCCTTAGCTCCGTGTTCTGTTTTTAGAATTACTGACCTTTCTACAAATGAAAATGGCAGGCCCAGCCACCCGCTGTTTATTAAGTAGGACTCTGAACCGCAAGACTTTAAAATGAATACCATCCAGTGATTGTTATCGTTATATATGTTACAACAGTTCAGAAGATTAGAGAAATGAATGATAATTTGGGGCTCTTTACAAAAAATTTAGCTTCGAAGTTTTAATGTGTCTTTAATGTTTCTGGAAGCGATAGGATGAAAAACTTCTTTCATCCTGCTAATGCACAGCCATGACGAACCCAAGCCAGGTATCATGCCATGAGAAGCAACTAGCAATATACTTTTACTAAATTACTAAGCGGAATACATTCAGTTTTATGTAATTTTATCAAAATAATTACATAATTATATCGAAATAATTATAGGCCTGTGAATGCGTGTATAGAGTCAAACCTTCTTTACATTTCGCTTTAGAGGGCACTCGCTACTAAAGGACAGTTCCTGAATCCCCTAAATATGTTTATATCTCTGATTGCAGACAGAAATATGTAAACAGGAAAAGATTCGCAGAGACAGGCCACTTTTCGACAGGAAGACTAAGCTAATAAAATAAAAATTTCCAAGTATCTGATATAAGAGATAATAAAAAGAATGGGATGTAATATTGAATTTTCAAAAGTATTCCAAGGTAAGTTTCTGATCCATTCACCAGATTCTGTGAAACATGTGGTATGGTATGTAAAAAGAAAGTCTCTAAATGATGAATTATTTTGAATTCTTTTACGAATTTTTGCAAACATTTATTTCTGATCTTGTGATGTCAGTCTAATCATCCCGTGCCTCTAAACACGGAAAGGGTATTTCTTTGCTTTCTTTGAATTTTTAACATTACTATGAGTAATTTTTAAAGATATTGAAATGATTAAAAAATTAAAATTCAGAGAAACAGCAGAAATGTTTGCTTTAGTAGATTTTAATATTCATTTGCCACATGGCAGACTTCTCGTTACAGGTTTTTTAAATTACAGAGCTATATTTGCGACAGCAGATGCATTGCTAGTACCCGCAAGGTGCTGGAGATACTGAATCTTTTCATCACACGTGATAATTTCAAGCATATCAAAGAAAGACATTCTCTTTGAAACTTCCACGATGTTGGTCAAGATCTAGAATTTTCCGCACCGTATATTGCAGAGCTCTTTAGTCACTTGGCCTGCCCGCCCTTAACACACACATCTCGCAACATTTTAAGGCATTCTCACTGTTTAGCAATCATGTTAACAAGGTGTTTAACAATCTTCATGCAGTAGATTTTTATAGCTCGGGCATTATTTTTCAATGAGTTTAAGTAAGCAGTATCTAAAGGAGCAAAAAGAGTAACATATTCTTTTGATTTTCTTCGTAGTATGATTCTACATCTATTTCTCTTAAATTGGTAGCTCATTTTGTGTAACTTTTGTGGATTCCCACTGAGTATTTTTCATAGACGGTATGTGTAACTCATAATTATGCCATAATTTAAGCATGCATTTATTTATGTATTTGTAAATGCTGTAAATGACTGAACAGTCCACATTCAAGTGAACTTGGGGGTTGTTTCTATTTTGCGAAGTTTCTCGAAACGCAGTACTATAGCAGCTCAATGCTTCACTAGGTGCTTTTAAATCATGAGAGTTTCAACATATATAACTGTAAATTGAGAGATGATAAAATTTAGAGAGAGAATAATTTTAAATTGTATGAATATTTATCCATTAAAGTCATCAAATGAGTAATAACTTATATTTAAAAATGACTTTATTTTCATCATTTCCTAATATTATAATTTTAACACGGATTTGATGTACTGAATATCAATATTTTGTTTAAAAATGGTTCCAATACTCAGAACTACAGACTGGAACGGAACGTAATTAAATGTTTACACTTATGAAGATATAACTAAATCGCATTAGAAAGCATCAGAAGTATCATTACCGCGTTTGAAAGATTACTCATTATTTATTTGTTAAAGTAAGCGATAAAATATTACGGCATGCCATAGTGACATCTTCACTTGTGGTCGGGTATGCTGAACAGAGTTACAGTATTGCACATGGAATATATCTACAGTTATTAGAAAGATAATTCAAGAGCTTCTGCGTTAATGATAAGGCTAACAATTCCCTAACAGCTCAATGCTTCACTAGGTGCTTTTAAATCATGCGAGTATGGTAAATTCCCAATCGACTGTTTGATTCTGAATGGTATAATGAAAGATTTCTAACGAAACATTCTGAAGAAAAATTCTTGAAAGACAGAATGCAGCTTGCGGAACTAACTCTAGAAAACTTATCATACATTTTCATATACCATACTCATGTTAATGTGGATGTGGTTATACTTTGTCCGACGATGACCGACAAGACTAGCATCTTTACTAGTACTAGTGTGTAGAACATTGTAAACGAAAGCTTACTATGCATTTGGAAATTCTGTCAATAAATTAACAACCATAGCAGATTTCATGACTTATATTCGTTGATGGAGCGAATTGCATCGAATTTATAAACGAATCGATAACTTGCAGAAATGTTATCAGTGAACAAATTATATACCTCGCGTTACTCAGTAACGTGTTCAACACAGCAATGTGTTCACACATTGCTTTCATCAACGAACATCGCGATGCGTCGATGTCTAGTTCACTGGTTCTCTTAGTTTAGTGTCTATCTTTTCGTTATTTTCTTTATCACAGTACCATTTGGCTTAATCTTCAAAAAACATTAAGAATTAAATGCATTTTTATATGACAATAATTTTTTTAAGCACAACTTGTTTAATGTATTATTTTATAGTCTACAGCTCTGTTTCTTCTAAAACATCGCATATTTTTTACGTTGCATAGTGTCAACCTTTAACACTATTCTTTGTTTCTTTTCAGTGCTTTCAATGAGTTTGTTCTTTGTAAATATGTACACGTTACTCAAGACTGTGGGCAAGAATCTGCAGATTTTCTACAGCAACATCTAGATCGAATATCCAGTCCTCTCCTTCACGAGCATTGTGCTCATTATATGTATGCCACAGACTCGTGCACCTCTTTTGCCTGTATTCACGCATCTCCTTCTATTTATTTTGCACTTATTTTGGAACTATTAATTCAATATATCAAAATAATCCTAAGGTGAAAAAAAGACCTAATTTTGCTTATATTCTACAGAATCAATCCAAAACAGCTCATACAGAGACAGCAGCACTGAACAATGAAAAACGTTCTCACGAAAAAGATAATCATAAGTAATTATCACTGAAATGTAAATAAAATATATTATAAAATGTGAAAATACTATTAATCCAAGATTATCTTTCAAATGAGTAATCTTTTAAAACTCACAGCTGGAGTATTAAATTTTATTTAAACCAGAAATCAGTTTTTTTAAAAGCAAATAAAAAAATTTTTTGTTTGGTATACATGCAGTCATAACTCTCTTGCATAGTTAGTTGGCAATCCAAAATGCCTCATTTATTTTTTTCCATTTTAGGAGAACGCCTGTCAATTACTGACTACAAAATTAACTTTCATCATAGCATTTAACGCCAAACGCAGAAGAGGATAATTAATAATTCCTTTTAAAATGAGCCAGTTCAATTGTATCCCTACGATCCGGTTACAATTATTTCCTTGTTTCTCGATTTTTTTTTTAGTGCTGTTTTTGGTAAAATCTACAGTTGGGTGCCCTTGTTTTTGCGCGTTTTTCTGGACGCAAGATGGCGCCAGAAACACAATTTCAAGATGGGCCGACACAAAACCAAAATAAAAATACACATCCGCTGTCTGTTCACTTAAAAAAACATCCCAGAATTGCACAACTCGCATGCGCACTGCCTTTAAATTTGTCCCGGTACACATCATCTATTTTCACTTTAAAAAAAATCAGGAAGCTAAACCAAAGTTAAACTATCATGGTAACCAGAAGTTTCAATTTCACGCCAAATTTAAAAAACAAATTATCGCTAATCGAGGCACCCAATTCTCTTACCATTTTGTTTTTTTTTTTTTTTTTTTTTTTTTTTTGGTTGTTGTTGTTGTTGTTGTTGTTTGTTTTGTTTTGTTTTGTTTTGTTTTTTAATATTTAAAGCATTTTTTTCCCTTTAGGTGTTTGGGATCTTTACAGCTTATATATTTAATGTTTGAAACAATTACTAAGCATAATTTTACAGATCTCCTAACTTTTAGAACTGGATTCTTAATTATAACGAAAATAACGCAACGACGAACAAATGTTAAAAGATACTGTAGCAACAAGAAAAGCATACGTTCCTTAAAAAATTCTCTTAAGCTAGTTACATTTATGTAACTGACATGAAGCTGAGAGGTATGGCGTATTAGATTTCTTTGAGACACTATTATTTGTCACATGCAGCTTGCTAATTCGCTTTGCTGATAAGGATAAGGCAAAGGATTCGAAAGCTTTCTGCTGAAAGGGAGAAATGTTTTCATGGAGCTTTTCCTTGAGAAAATTGGTTAATATTTAGTTTAAACATTGGAAGATACGCTAAAACATCCATGCAGCCAGTTCATTCGCTGAGATCCGAACCTTGGTCTAAATAGGTGTATTTAAAACGGTTTCATTATATGTATATATATCAATTGAATCTAAATCCTCCTTTTATTCCTTTCTAAATTAGATATACTCGTTGGTGATACAAAAAAATGCAAAAATTTGTGAAAGATTGAGTAGAATGTAATGAAAATTGGCAAACAGACGGAGAATGCATATAAGTACTGTTAATTAAAAATTTTACAATACAGTGATTGAATATATATAGAGTGATCAGTAATGCAGAATAGTTTGTAAGTGGTGATAAATATGCAACAGAGATACAGATGAAATCAACGTTCGGAGTACCCTGAAGGATGGACGACCATAACTTTCAATCATCCTCCGTACTTAGTTTTCTAAAGCTAAGCCAAATCAAGCAAACAATGGCCAATAACACCACACACGTACTCGATTTACTTGGGATCTGGAAACTTCGATGATCAAGAAAGTATCTAGGTACCTTGTAGGACTTGTCTGCTGATTATTTTTGGGTGCAATGCTGGAAAATAATATTTTGCAACAGCTAAAGATACAATAGTCCAACTGGCTGCAGCACTTCCCTCCAAGTCTCGTCGTGCTGTCATTTTGTCCCATGCAAATGACAGATGACTGGGTATCCATGTGGTGGTCTGGTATCCATGGTATATGACTGGGTGTCCATGGTCCATCCCCAAAACATAATGCAATGCTGTTGAGCAGTATGACATTCAGCAGTCACTGTGAGACTGGGCTTGTCTCCCCATCGCCTTCAAACTCGTGTCGACGACTGCCATGGTGAAGCAGAAGTGAGTACACTAACTTTGCCATTCAGCCTTCAAGTGGCTCTTTCCCGTCACCACTGCAAACGTTGGTGCTGTTAGTTTTGCATCAATGGCAGCTTTATAAAGGGTAGCATGACTGCAAGCCACTTTAAACCAATCATCTAGAAATTCTTGCTGATACTTATGCAAGTTCCTTGCATAAGTTGACAGTTGTGCTCTGTGGGGCCACCACAGCATGCCTTCGAATGTGTCTACCCACGAGTGCTGGCATCCATTTAGATGCATCACCACTGCAAACGACTTATATTCCTCTCATCAATCCATCTTCTCTAAATCCTATGCACAAAAGACTCATGTAGCTGCATTTCAGCTACGATACGGTGGAAGGATCAACCCGTTATTCGTAGGTCTAAAAACGAAAATGTCTGCTGAAATTGACTTAGAATCATCTGCCAGGCACGTCAACAAGACCTACCAATTTAAGCCAATTCATTAGGTACATTAATCTTTCTGATGGATCAAATCTGATGAATCTGAAAATAATTTGTGCCATTGCATGTACTTGCAAAAGTCTTAACTATTTATTTAAAGTGTGGCTTATATTTAATAAAAGTATACTTTATAATTAATATCTCAAACAATAACTAAGCAGGATGGAATATAATGTCATTTTTCTGCCGGCACCCACCTATGATTGTGCTGCAAGATTGCTAATGCTGTGTTCAAATCTTCATGAACAGACTGTCTGCATGGGAGTAGTCATGATTTTCTCCATGTGCAATGCGAATATGAGCCACGTATCTCTCCATTTAAAAAGATAGCTTTTGTGTACTTTGCCATCATCCAAAAAAATAACTCATGAAAGTGCAACCACTTGTTATTGAATAACGCTCACTTTTCTGACCTATAGTCAGTCTAAGCCCACGAAATTCCTTGTGGCAAGGAGTGTAAGATACGCCTGATACTGGCAACAATCTTGAGCACCTTACAGGTAACAGCGTGATTAAGCTTAGTTCTGCCCCCAGTTTTAATGAAGAGCACCCCAAGGGGATCAGTCCGAGGGTCTCCGACCCCTCTGCCCCTTAACATCAACCTCTCAAGAGGACTTTCAAATCGCCACATATTTTGAGTGTCTCCATGCCACACGGACACTATATATTTACAAACAACCCTGCCTTCTCCAGGATTCAAACCCGGGCCCTTCATCATGGCAGTCAGTGACGCTAACCACTATACCAGTTGGGTAGCACAAACTTGTTAAGCAAATAATGCTTTATAACTAGTTAGTGAAAATATGTGTTGTATTTAACAAAAATTTAATTATAACCAATACTGTTACTTATGGATCAGAAGATGGGTCAGTCATTTTATCCCGCCTAGTGCTGATCAAGGATTCAACTGAATAAGATTAAGAAACACTTCTCTTTGTTGAAAGAGGAAGGCTATATGAAGTTTTCATGATTTACTTCCTGTGCAATATAAAAAAAAGACCAGTTTCCTTTAATGAACTCACCATACAGGCATCACATTTCAGAGATATAAAAGCCTTATTTGCTATCCCTTAACTGAATAATTCAAATCAACATGTATAAACAAACATCATAAACACACATACTTGCATAACAGAGGTATGCAGAAATAGTTCCATTTAAAACCAGTCGAAACTAGTTCCTATACATAATACATTCCACTTTAACTATATTTCTTTTACTTACTAACTGAAACAGTAGCTGGAAAAGGATGAACTCATTATTTATGTTGCTATTACAAACTGTATAACGTCTGGGAGTTAATTACATGCAACTCTATCTTACATGCAATGATTCCTGATGAAAAATACTAATATTTCCCTTACAGGAAACCATACTTTTACATTATTTAATAACCCATTATTCTGGCTTTTATTGTAATTTTCAATAATTATCACAATTTTCCTATGCTATGTCACTGTCAGGTGAGACTGCTCTTTCTATTACATAATTAACACTTACTTGTTGCAATTACATTGTATTATACTATTACAATTACATTGTATTATACTATTACATTGTAATCAGGTTTATTGTCATATAGTCACAATTAAGATTTAATTATATTGCAACTGAGAAATCTAACTTTTTGAGTAATTGAATCTAATTACAATGTAATTATGATTAAATAATCTAACTGAAACTATATAATCATGTATAATTGGATTTAAATCTGGTTGCAATTATATAATCTAATTACAATTGTAGTTTGCCCACATAAAATGCACTATACTGTAAGTCTATTTAATATTTAAGTATCAAGAAACAAACATAGTTGAAATGAAGCCAAAGTGGAAATTATCTGGATGACTCAATATATTATACCTCAAGCATCAAAACATCATCCATGTGCAGTGGCTACTCCATTGACTCATTCTCATGCTTACTGAAAATATTTGGCATGTACTTGGACATTCTATTTCTGCCCATGTGCCCCTTTCAACTACTTTAAAGAAATGAAAATTATCTTTATAAAGTAATGTCAATTTTACAGGGTTCGTACGCATTTCTCCACATGGAAATTAAGAACTTTTAAGGACCATTAATAAAAAAAATTAAGGGCCTATGAGCAAATGGGAACTGAATAAATTCAATTAAAAATATTATTTATGCCTGAATTTCACTTTTGCAATACAATCCTAAAAATAAAATAGATCACTAAGTAGCATGCATTATTACTAAACATGAATTAATTAAGATAATTATTAATAAGTTAGAGAATAAAATAAACTTTATGCAGTTTATTAAGTAACATTAAATACTTGGTCAATAGGTTTAGTAAATAGCAGGTAGATTTTATGTCAAGCAGCATAGCTTAAAATGAGAAGCAAGATCATAATCAGCATGATTCATAACAAAAGACTGAAAGTTATCACCCCTGCTGCTTGTCTAGAGAGAGACCTGCTGATTAAAACAAACCTGAAACAGTTGGCAAGTGTTGAAAGTTAGTCAG